TTTTAAAAAATGAATTTTCAAATTAATATCCTTTCAAACATATCTTGATTAAATTTACTTCCAAATTATCTAAGCTAGAAGCCAGATCCAAAATCCATTATCCCCCCCCCCCTCCAAAGAAAAAAAAGACTATTGTCCATAGATTTTGTACTTCTAAATCATATAAGATTTAATTTTGAAGAAGTATTTTTATTTTTTATTAAATTATTTATTAAAAAATGTCAAAGATATTTAACTATTATAACTAAAATTGGAAATTTCTCAATAACTTAATGGTATGTAGACACATAATTAGAAAAGTATTATTAATGTAAAAAAATGGAAAAATATTGCAATTAACCTTTAGGCTTATGTTAACCAACTAAAAGTGGTGAAAATTGCTTACTATTCGATAGTGAAAAACAAAATCTTGGTGCAAATTGCTGAACCACCAAATGTTGAGTCTAGAATTGATCTTGAGAGTAGCATACTAAATTAATTTAATCATACAAGAATTTGTGATTGACTAATCTCCGCTCATGAATACACTTATACAAATAAATTAAGTTATAATGAAAATTACACTCTTCAATCATCCTGGATTGAAAATATAAAGTTAAAAATTGAGTATGTAAATTAACATCTTTTTTGTCCACTCAGTTATAGTTTTCCTTTAGAAAATGACTGTGTAAAATACCCTACTGTATATGCGCTTGAGATTCTCTTTGATAACTTATATGCACTTAATTATTTAATAACAAAAATATTTTTCCTAATTTAAAATCCAACGTATCTAATCACCTAATCAACAATAATTGCTTAATTAGAAAGTGATTGATTTAATCAGTTCAAAGAGCCAAAACAGCTGGATGTCATCTTGTAGCACATTTGGTGATTGGACATCACTTTCCTATAAGATGATAGATATTATATCATATAATACCAGGCACTTTGATTTTTATGTTCCCTATTATGGCGGCTATCAATATTTTTGGCTACAACGTGACTCTTTCAACTTGTTCATTGGATCATAAGAAATAGTAATTTTGGTTCATAGGCCAAATTTGATAACTAGTTAGTGATGTTCTCCACCTTCTATCTTACTGGTAGGTAACACTTAAAGCTCTTCAAAGAAGTGTGATGAGAATGTGATTGAAGGCTTCATTTGAGCACACTTGAAAACTACAACATTTATGCTGGTCATGGCTACTCGCATTCTTTCCTCTCTGCATAATGTATCTTCTCATGCCTCAGCTGCTAAACATTGTTTAGGTAATAACACTATCTCTTTGTAAAGTTTACTTTTGTAAAGTTTATTTTATCATAAAACACACACTCACTTGATATGTTTCATAGATACACATCTTAACTTTTTTAACAAATGAGTATAGAGAAGAGTCACATAAAATTCTGACCATATCTTATCATTATGTTTTCATAGTATGGTATTTGTTACATTATTAAACTTGATTGACTAAGAAATGGGATAACTATTGACTAAATTTTCAGGCCTATTCTGTTGTTGGCATAGAAATATAAGTGGAATTGGTGCTTCTACTGGTGCTGATGTGGAGTCTAGCATACCACCTGTGCAAATTGAACATAATCAGCTTCTGATTGACGGGCAATTTGTTGATGCAGCTTCTGGTTAATATCTTGTTACCTTCATGTACATACAAAAAATGTTGTTTCATTTATATGAATACATAGCAATCTATGCAATGAAAACATAATTTAATAATTTTGCCTTTGTTAGGAAAATCTTTTCCAACCTTTGATCCTAGGACAGGAGATATCATTGCCAATGTTGCTGAAGGTGACAGTGAAGATGTAAATCGCGCTGTCCGTGCTGCAAGAAAGGCTTTTGATGAGGGACCATGGCCAAAGATGACAGCTTATGTATTAAAACATTATATAATCCTTTTTGCTTCTATAAATTTCTGAACATGTTTTCATGTACACCAATTTTAACCATTGTTTTCTCTCCTTTAGGAAAGATCACGTGTAATTTTGCGGTTTGCTGATTTATTGGAGAAGCACACTGATGAAGTTGCTGCAATTGAAACATGGGATAGTGGCAAGACCTATGAACAGGCTGCAAACATTGAAATACCTATGGTGGTACGTGTGTTTCGATATTATGCAGGTAACTACATTATCTTTGAGCTCAGTTCATGTTCTTATTGTATAGCAAGTTGACACTCTTTCATTTCTTTGGCATCCCTTGTGTTTTCTTCAGGTTGGGCAGATAAAATCCATGGTCTAACGGTTCCAGCTGATGGATCACACCATGTCCAAACCTTGCATGAGCCTATTGGTGTAACAGGGCAGATTGTTCCTTGGAATTTCCCACTTCTTATTTATTCATGGAAGGTTGCACCTGCATTAGCATGTGGTAATACAGTTGTATTGAAAACTTCTGAGCTCACACCTCTTTCAGCCCTTTCTGTGTCAAAGCTATTTCTCGAGGTAGCCTTATCTCACCTATATATAATACATGTTTCCACATGTGTGTATGCTGGCTTGAATTCCACTTTTGTGACCACCTGCTTATTCTTTTATAGAGCTACAATCCCACTTAAATTCATACCTTCACTAATGATGTCTTCAATGATGACAAAATTCCTATTTTCTGTTCTTGTATGTCTTAATTTTAAGATCTTCACCCTTCAAAATGAACCACAACACTAATATTCTTGACCAAGATGAAGGATACAAAAATATTTGTCAGTTGCTACCAATACAAGATCAATTACCTTATCTTAGCCAAAATAAAATTAACAAAAGGTAAGATACCTCTTCTATTGTACAGAATGTGAACAAGTCTTCAATGTCATGATTGTCACAGCTATTAACCGGACCTCTAGGAAATTAATTGGTGCAATTTGAAAAATGAACCTAAGCTTACAATATCAAAATTGCTTCCACAAACAGATTGTGATCCTGCATGTGTCTGTACATTTGTGATTGTCCATACTGATGGATTTGATGCAACAGGCAGGACTTCCTCCTGGAGTTCTGAATGTTATATCTGGGTTTGGTCCTACTGCAGGTGCAGCTTTGTGTAGTCATATGGATGTTGATAAGGTACTTCAAAAAATCTTTTTCATGATTCCCTCTCAAATACATATATGCATTAATTTATGCCAATATGGCCTAATAGATAATGGAAAACTAAAAATTGGTTAAATTATTTTGAAGCTTGCTTTCACAGGATCTAGTAGCACTGGTAAGATTGTACTAAGACTTTCAGCAGATAGCAACATGAAGCCAGTAACTTTGGAGCTTGGTGGAAAATCTCCATTCATTGTGTGCAAGGATGCTGATGTTGATGCAGCTGTTGAGGCTGCACATTCTGCTTTATTCTTTAACCAGGTTTGATTATCTTATTCCATTTTATTATTATTCACAATTAGAACCATGATTCAATATGGTTCTTCAAGCTGTTTTCCTTTGTTTCTCTATAGGGACAATGTTGTTGTGCTGGATCTCGGACAATTGTTCATGAAAGCATATACGATGAATTCGTGGAAAAGGCTAAAACTCGTGCCCTTAAACGTGTAGTTGGAGACCCTTTCAAAAGTGGGGTTGAGCAAGGTCCTCAGGTAACTATCTCTATCTCCTATTTTCTCTTTCCTAATAAACCTCAAATCAAGAAAAACCTTTAACATCCAAGTTTTACAAAATCTTTGGTTTTAGTTTACCTTTTTGCAATTCCTCATTCATGTCAACAGAATTCTTCTCTATTTTTTTTACTGATGTTCAGATAAATGCTAAGTGACATCTTTAAGGGTGTGAAATTGATAGTGGTATATGTTTCAGATTGATTCTGCGCAATTTGAGAAGATCCTGAAATACATAAGATCAGGCATTGAAAGTGGTGCTACACTAGAATCTGGTGGTCAAAGAATTGGCTCCAAAGGCTACTACATCCAACCAACTGTTTTCTCAAATGTTCAGGAATTGTACCTCCAATGATATTTCTATGTCTGTACATTTAGTAACACAATTCTAACACAGAAGTAAATAACAAAAATGATTTCTTTGTTATTATTACAGGACAACATGTTAATAGCAAAAGATGAGATCTTTGGTCCAGTACAATCTATCTTGAAATTCAAGTATGCTGTTAATCACTAACTAAAATGTCATCATGTTTGAACATTATTCAATAGTTCCTCTTCTTAAATCTCAGTTATTCTATGTTTTGAAATAAATTATAGAGATCTAGAGGAGGTGATAAGAAGGGCCAATGCAACATCCTATGGCTTGGCTGCTGGAGTTTTCACTCAGAGTATGGACACTGCTAACTCCTTAATGCGAGCATTGCGAGTTGGAACAGTATGGATCAACTGCTATGATGTCTTTGATGCAGCTATACCTTTTGGTGGATATAAGATGAGTGGTCAAGGGAGAGTAAGGGGAATCTACAGCCTTAGCAGCTACCTTCAAGTTAAAGCTGCTGTCACACCTTTGAAGAATCCAGCATGGTTGTAATTTTACAATATATAAGTGTTCATATTCATAACGTCTTTCATATGTAAGCAATAACTAGCATTGAATTAGACAAAGTTATTGCACAACTACAGCTTTTATGAACCATTCTTTGCTGCCTTACCTTCTGCTAGAATATCACCCTTGGTAGCAGAAAGCTTCTTCTCTTTACTCAAGTTTTTTTAAAAAACTAAATAAATAAAATAAAAAACTGTCTTTGATAAACTCAAGTGGAAAGCAATTCCAAGAAAAAGTTTTTCACCAGATCAACAATAAAAGTAAGCATGCTTAATTGAACTATACTTGACTAAGTTTGGAAAAATTGGAGATTAAATAGGCAATGATTCTTTTTTACTAAAGAAAAAAGACCTTGATTTCAACAATCAATCATAAGTAATGGAACTTAGATAGTAACTATCCAGAGTGAACAATAACTTTTATGGAAGCTATAGTTTTCAAGCATTACAGGAAATTAATACATATATTTTTTTTGTGACAGAAAGGGGTTCAAGTAATCACAGAATCTAAATACAAAATTCCGTGCTATAAATCATGTACAAAAACATTCTCATAACAAGTACTTGAAAATTTGCAAACCAATGTTGATAACTATGATTATAAAAATGATCTCAATAATTACTCTTTTATGGATTAGAAATATCGTCTGCTGGAGTTTTTGTAGTCGAAGCCTTCCTCTCTTTTGAAATCAATAGAGCCTCTTCTAGTTTTTGGACAACCTGCTCCATGGATGGACGTTGTTGGTTAAGGGATGTACAAGATAGAGCGAGCTTAAGTGTAAAATCAAATGCTTCTCCAGAGTAGTCTCCTTGAAGTTTAGGATCAACAAATCCTGTTATGCTGCCACCCTTGGTGATTGCTTTTGCCTAAGAAATGAAGTGTCATACAAATTTTGCACACAAGGGTCAATTTGAAAAAGATGCATGAAACAGTATAAGAGATTTAAGATTTATGGTTGCTGACCATTTTATTCAGTGACATTGGTTTCTTCAGTTTCAAATTTATAACCTTCTTTCCAGAGAGGATTTGTAAAAGTACCATACCGAAGCTGTAAACATCCCCAGATGAATTCACATGGTGGTTGCTTTGGTACTCAGGATCAACATATCCAAAAGTTCCCCTTACTTCAGAGCTAACATATGTTTCACCCACCTCAATGACTTTAGAAAGTCCAAAGTCTGATAGCTTTGCCTCAAATTTGGATCCAAGAAGAATATTTGTTGGCTGCATACAGAATATAGTGATTCTATTAAACTCCCATTATCATCTAAGAGTGGTTGGATATTTCAAACAGAGGTAGCATTTGAGTTACTATTTTTCATTACTAGTTTCTTTACTTCTTTTTCTTTTCTTTTTTCCCCCCACTTTCCTTTCCTAAATTACTAAAAGCAAAACCTGTAAAATTGGAAAGTGAAGGGGAAAAAATAGAAACAGAATCTAGTCACTTTCTCAAAGGTTATATATATAATGAGAGCATCGATCTTGATATCAATTATCACTATCAGTAACTCTACACTTCCATTGTCACTGAATTGCATACTTGGGAAAGTACTTTAGGACCCCCAAAAAAATGACAAAAGAAAAGTCCTGAATGTGAGACTTGATCTAATCATTGCATTTATGGTCAACAATTGAATAGAATTCACTGAGTTTTAGATATATAAGCATTGAACCATATCTACAGATTTAGTAACTCCAATAATAAATCTGGAACATGTAATGTTGCAAAGTGAGATGTTCATAAAGATTGACCTTGATATCACGGTGAACGATGCAACCTCCTGCATATGTATGTAAGAACCAAAGACCTCTAGCACTATCAATTGCAATTTCTAGCCTCTGAATCCATGATAGCACCTTGTTCTTGCCTGATGTATCCATCCACTTATCAAATCTTCAGAAATCATGGATACAAGAGCAAACTAATTCAAACTATCATGCCACGAAAAAGGTAAAATTATAATTACCAAATAGCCATTCTGAAAGACTTCCATTTGGACATAGCTCATAGACCAGAAAGCATTCATCTCCTTCTACACAGTAACCCAGCAAAGCAACAAGATTTGGGTGTCTGACATGAGACAAGCTTGTAACTTCTCTAGCAAAAGTCTCCATATTTCCATCATCATTGATTACGTGCTTTATTGCAACATGCTGATTATTTCTCATTGTGCCTTTATAGACCTTGCCTAAAATTAAAATCCATAAATGAGATTTTTTTTTTATACATACCAATTTAATAATTAATAGCTAGGACAATTCAGACAAATAGTGGATATCTTTAATTGATTTTGGTAAGGAGACGGTCAAAATTTTAAATCTTAAACATTTATCTATTACCTGTAACGTTGTAGAATTGATTGTAAGATTTTACAGTATTATGTATATGTATTATGCCTACACATCTAGGAGATTAAATTGCAACTGACTTATATTTTGTCAATTTGTCTAGACACATTCATGAATAGGTTAAACCAAATTTTCTCACACCAGATTTTAACAGAGAGAGAAAAGAGAATCTCGCCTGCAGATCCTTCCCCAATGATATTCATTTCATTCAGATGGTTAGTGGCAGCATACACTTCTTTGATATGAACTCTAGGACAAGAAGTTTTCTTTAACATATCTCCAAATGTTACTGCAAAAAATAAAATTAGTACAATAATATCCTTTATCTATGATGGTATCTAATGAGTTCAGAATAATTGAGGTCTTACCTTCTTTTCTTGGTGGGGCTGATCTAAAGCATCTACGTAACATGGAGTATGCAATAACTATCATCAATATAACCCCTATGGTTGCTCCAATAAGAATCCATGTACCTAATTCCACACAAGGGCATTAGTGATCAACAAGAAAGAACCAACCACACCACAATCTGCTTGGTTGGAAACAAGATTAATATTACGACATATAAGCACCTCTATTACTCTCCATGTTCTGATTGCCTTGTGTGGTTTCATTTTCTGCTAGAGAAAACAAGAGTTATCACAAACAAATAGATTAAGTAGAAATTCAAGTAAGATAACTGATCCCAATTTTATATTTATAAACTTACCTATATAAATATGTTTTGTTCCAAGGCATCTCAGAACTGTGTGGACATACATCTCATTTTCAATTTTGCTGCTTATCAATGTCACAATTACAGCAATTCTACAAAGGTCATCTTCAATTTTTTCAGCTTTAACATTGGTCTTTCTGGAACTTGTCTCTCCTGTTGTTTTCCAAGGCCTCAAGCACAAAGAACATGATTGTTCATAGCCATTCCCTGAAGTCTGAAATTGACATTTCTCATCTAAACTTTTAAGCTCATTTCCTAATTTATTCCAAACATCAGCAACCAACAAGTCAGAACATCCCCCACCACCACTTGTTAGGTTCTCAATTCCACAACCAAAAATATCATCTTTAAAACCCTTTACTCTAGACAGACAATTTCTTTGCTCAGTAGAATCCAAGTAAACCCTCCCAGTTAGATTTGCATGCTGAGCAAGAGCATAGAGGTAAGAATCAAATGCTTCTCCACAGCACTTACTGTGCATGAGCTCATGCCAGTTTCCCTCTTGACAACTTGAATCATTCAACAATTGAATTTTAAGGCTGCATTCCGTATCCAAAGCCAAGGAAATTGCAAACTTCATAGTGTTGATCAAAATAAACATGCAAACAAGCAAAATAGATGTTGGAAACACAGTTCTATTCCAATTCCAATTCCAAGAAGCCATTGGAGTTTTTTAGCATCCTTTAGTTGTTAGGAGGAATCTGAATAACTTAAAGTGACAAAAGGCTTTAAGGGGAATTCACTAATGGCAAATCTAATGAGCAACAAATGCAATGAAGTATGAACAATTTTTTTGTAGTAGAATAGGTTGAATGTATCTTCTTTTTCTCTTTGTTGCGTGTGTGTGTATAACTGAGAGAGAGAGAGAGAAGGAGGGGTGAGGAATGAGACTCAAACTTCCCCTTCTTGGAAAAAGCACATAATTGGAATATCTTGTAGATTGTCTTTTTATGAGTTTGAAAACCAGTTATTTGTTTGCTTTCTAGAACATTCATATGAAAAACATTTCAAAGATTTGGGTGCATCGTCCATAAACAAATCAATTAACATAATAACATCACCCTTTTGCTTCGTGTGTACCATTAGTCTTGTTGCCGGCCAATGTAATACTACATTTATTTTCTTATAAAATGTTACTGCTTCTTAACTCTGTTTAGAAATTTTATATTCTTAGAAAGATATGCACAAATCAAATTTAACTAAGGAAATTTCTTTTTTTTACTTTATGGTAGGTGTCTCCTTTGTTTTAAGAGTGTATTTTATGAATACATATATACAAAATAATAATAATAATAATAATAATAACAGAGAAATATAAATAATTATATATCATATCACATACAATGGTTCAAATGTTATCAAATAAAAAAGTTTAATTCTACATTAGCGAGAAGAAAAATATTTTGTATACCACTTAAGGGGACATCTAAAAGTGTTTCTTGATATGTCTTAAATGTATTTTTGAAATGCATGTAAGCATAAAATATAAGTGGAAAATCTATACAAAAAAAATAAAAGTGGAAAATAATAAATAATTATATATATAATATCCTATGTAGTATCAATATTTAATAATAACTCAAACAACAAAACTGGTAGCAAGTATGTCCAACAATGTCCTACGTGAAGCATATTAATGGTCTTGTTGGCCAGCATATTCTTACTGGTGCATGCTCTCATTACTTACAGAAAATCAAAGTTTTTGTTTCTTATTAATGAATGAAACTTTTTCCTTTTGGTCTGATATAAAATAAGACACTTAGGAGTGTCATGTAGCAACAAAGAATGGAATAGCCTATGCTCATCATGGACCCCATTTTCTTAATAGAATGACGAAACTAATGCATTCTTGCTAGATTTTTGTTTGAAGTTTAACGAGTAGTGTAATTTACATGATTTTACAATCACAAGTAGACACAATTATACACATTGGATACACTTATTTTCCCATGTTATTTCTCAACAATCGTGTCCAATTGTTGTAAAATTATGTAAATGGTATGACACTTGTAATATTTAAGTTTAGACTAAAAACAATATTTTCTTTTTATATTTGACCAAATCGAACATGATTCTCTTTCATAGAAAATATTTATAGTTTAGACTAATAAAAAATATTAGTCCATTGATTTTTTTTAGTAATTAAGTTTTTTACTTCATTAATTATATTCTACTTGAAACTCTCAAATTATTATTTTTCCAAATTTTGAGAAATTTATGATAATTTACTAAATGAAATAATTTTAAATTTTTTTAAGATATAAAATTAAGTTTGAAGAAAAATATTTTTTCTTTTTATATTTGACCAAAATTTAATATTTGAATGAGTGCATTCTGAGAAAAAAAATTGATTTTTTGAGATTTTGAGTAAAAAATAAGAATTTAAATATTTTGAATAGAAAAAAATTGATAAAAACTTAAATTATATAATTTTAAAAATAAATAAATAAAGGAGGAATGCTAAAATCACATTCTTCTTAACATATTTTTTTATTATTAACTAAAAGTTATTAAAAATTATAACAAAAATTCGTGTGTGTTTTTAAATCAAAATGAACTCCAAAAGTGAAGAGAGATCGCACACGTAGTGGGTAAATTACTAAAAAATAGTGGGATTAAAAAAAGCCCAATAGCTTTGGTCTTTGCATCAGAATGCAACCTTGGGACGTGGGACAAAACAAGATTTGCGCCAGCAAAGGATAAGGAAACAACGGTTGGAATAAATGTTAAATGTATAATAATTAAAAAAAAAAATTTGCTTTGTATAATACAGAAATTTGAAAAAAAAAAACAGCTCAAATATTAATAATAAAATCGTATGAAAAGTACTGACAACTATATATAATTGTGTGTTCTTTTTACTTTTTATTTTAAAAGCATTACTGACATCACTTTAAATTATTGTACCATTTTGCTTGCAGTTATAGCACACACAATGTCTTTCAAGACAATAATTATCCTTCTTATGATATTTCATAAAAAATAATTAATTAATTCATCAAAACTAATAAAAAAATTATATATTTTAAATTTATAGTGTATATTAAAAAATACTTATAAAAGTAAATGATCAAATTAATAGTTGATGTAATAAATGAATGAATCTATTCACTTTGTATAGTAATCAAGTAAGAGTTTATCAATTTAAATTTCACAATAAATAAAAGATATAAAAATAAATTTAGCAGTTAATATATCTTAAAAAAAATCTCTGTTTCTTATATTTTAGACTAAAAAGTAATGAAAATTATTTGTTATAAATAAAACCGGAAGAAGTATTATCATAAAGAGTAAGATTGATTGATTCATTCTTAACATGTCATTTAGCTTGAAATAGAGAAGCTTTGTAGCTGTAATGTATTATGATTAACAAGCCTAATGAGAAACCCCATCAAACAAGTTCTATTACTCTCCAGCAAAGATTCAAAGGGTGGTAACAAAACAGCTGCCAGCTAAGTATCTTAAATTTCAGCACAAAATGACAAACACATGCACTTGCATATTCTCATTTTGAGTAGTGATTCAGAGCAACCAATTTTGTAGCACTCATCACGGATTTTTTCCATTAGCATTTGCTTCGGTTTTTACTTTTCGAGCTTTTATTAGTTGTTATTTTTCTTTAGTTATCTTTCATACATATCTTAGTTAACCAATTTCAGTGACCAAAACCTTTTTCACTTCAACACTAGAAGTCTATTTCAACTCCTTAAATACAATGATCAAGTTTTCAACATGCAAAATCTTGATCACAACCCTTACTATTCTTCTTCAACAAAACTTGGTCTTTTCAAAATGCCACTGTGATAACCAAACACAAGGTTCGGATCATAAGGTATCCGAGGCACTGAAGTACAAGTTGATTGCTATGGCATCAGTTTCAGTTGCTAGTCTAATTGGTGTGTGCCTACCAATCTTTGCCAAAAACTTTTCACTTGTGAACCCAAAAAATGATTTGTATTTGTTGGTTAAAGCATTTGCTGCTGGTGTGATCCTAGCCACAGGGTTTGTACACATACTTCCTGAAGCTTTTGAGGCCTTAACAAATCCATGCATAGGTGAAAAGCCATGGAGAATGTTTCCTTTCTCAGGGTTTGTGGCAATGGTAGGATCCACTGTGACATTAATCATAGAAACTTTGGTTATGGGGTGCCATAAAAGGTCTAAAATGACGAAAGCACAGACAATGAATTATGATGAAGAGACTCATGCAGATGATCGTAGTAATCATGTTCATAGCTCTTCACTTGCATCAGAGAGACAAGATTCGGCAGATCTTCGGAATGTCATAGTTTCTCAGGTAACTACTTTAGTAGATCACATAAATTTTCATTATCAAAGTGTATTTATCACATAAATTCTATGATTTTCTCATTCAATGTTGTTAGAACTTGGACCTCTCAAATAGCAGCATTGAGAATAAAACTGAAAATATCTTAAATTATAGTTTCAAATTCCATCCACTAATTAAGTTGTGACAATATTTTGTGCATAAAAAACGAAGTTAAATTTTTTTAAAAATTGCAATGAATATAACCAAAAAATCTTGTGCTCCTAATCCTTAACATTTATGAATATAACCAAAAAATACAAAGATACGAGTTTATGTTCAATTACCTGCAATGACATATACAGATTTTGGAGTTGGGTATTTTGCTGCACTCGATCATTTTGGGGATATCTCTTGGGGTGTCTGCAAATCCTAACACAATCAAGCCTTTGGTGCTGGTAATAAGTTTCCATCAATGCTTTGAAGGCATGGGACTTGGTGAATGCATTTCTCAGGTACTTATTATCTATCAGTGTTTACTATTAAGTAAATACCTATTTCATTCTTTAAAATTATAAACGTGGATTAATTTGATTCTCAACTTTATAAAAATCTTAGTTTACTTCTTTATGTTTTATAAATCATTCAATTTAGTTATTTTTTATTTTATTTCTTCTTGTCATTTTATATGAGAAGGACTAAATTAAATGTCATTTTGTAAATTTGAAATACTAAAATATTTTACACTTGTAGTTTAGAGAACTAAAATGAGGATTTACTCATTTACTATTTATACCAAAAAAATCACTTTTATTAACACTTTTTTCTTCTCTTTTATTAGGCACAATTTAAATATTACAAGATTGCAATTATGGTACTATTCTTTGGCCTCATTTTCCCAATTGGAATTAGTATTGGTATTGGCATATCAAATATTTATCATGAAAGGAGTCCAAAGGCACTAATAGTTGAAGGGTTTCTGCTATCAGCATCTGCAGGGATCCTCATTTACATGGCACTTGTTGATCTTCTTGCCAATGATTTCATGAGCACAAAAATGCTTAGGAGTTTTAGGCTTCAACTTGGGCCATGTTTTGCACTTCTTATGGGATTGATTTGTATGTCAATCTTGGCATTGTGGGAAGAAGCCTAACCATAGTTTGTTGTAACTTTTATGATCCTTGCAGAATATTAATACAAGGAAATCAAAATTGATTGTTTTGAACCATAACCACACCTAATATGCAGTTCATTAGTTTGGAGCCTACATCAACCCAAGCTCCATTTTTCATATTAATACTTACTTTATATTTTTGTTGTATTCTTAAAGCATTGAAAGAGTGTGAGATTATTATATCAAGTTATCAACCATTGGTTCTTATCTTCCCGGCCAAAGCACACACATCTATATTTATTATTAAGAGAGTAATTAAAAAAATGTTTAACTAAACCGTATATTAAAAATACTGCTTAGAGAATTAAAATTTGATTTTTTATTAAAAGTCATGATGTAATGCATAAGAAATTAAAATGAGGGGTAGGAGTTTACTTTTTAATCCTTATTAATATCTTTTTTTCTAAATCACATGTTAAACTGAAATAATTGTTTATTAATTAATTCACGTGTTTGGTAATCCTTAACTAATATTCTAAAACTGTTGATTAATATTTATTTTTAAAAAATAAAATAACAAATTATTTTGTAGACACTGTCTATAAACATATTTACATGTGCAAACATGTGTGTTTGACATTTTAACAATACTATTATATTTTAATTGTTTGCTCAATTAAAGGAAAGCGAAGAATTTATCAAAAGTGAAACATTTATTAAAATTAAATTAGTAAAAATTGATTTAAAAAATAAAACTTCTATAACCACCTTGAATTTAAATATAAATGGGTAACAAATTAAGAAACAATTATATCTCAAATTTATATGAAATAACTTTGTATTTAGAGCAGAGAGCTAGTTTAAACTACTTTGATAACATAGAGACATATATGTTAAAGCCAAAAACAAATGTTTACGTTAAACAGTAATTTTGAAGGAAAATAGTGGATTGCCCAAATACGAAGGGTAATGATATTTTTCATATTTTTTATTAATTAAGGAACGTGCAATAGATGTGAGAAAGAAAAAATAATAAATAAATAATATAACAAATGTGATGTGGGGTCAATCCAACTCATTGGATATCAATCAAATCTCAATAAACAAATCCATTATTTTATGTTGATTTTCTAATTTGAAATTCAGTGACATCTTGAAACTAGCTTGATTAGTCAAAGGGGTTAGTATAATTAACCTCTGATCCCTAATGAACATGCCTAATGTATAATTAACCTCTGATCCCTAATGAACATGCCTAATCTTGATTATTCCTCCTAATGTCATCTTAATTCATGATTTGAGTGTAATGGAGTATTCACCTAATTTGATAAATGAAACACTCACTTTATTTATTTAAAGACCCTCATATTTATAAAAGGAGAGGATGACATTCATTTAAAGTAATATATCTATTTTATAAATCACTGCATTTTCATTGTTAGGAAAGTGTTTGTACTCTTAGGGGTCATTGATTGAACAAAATGATATAATAAAAAATTTAAAAAATAGTGACTGAAAATTGGAAGTAAAAAAATTAATTCATGTGTATAAGATTATTATTATTATTATTATTATTATTATTCAAAGGAATAAGATTATGTGCGTCAGAAATTTCAATACATGGTTTAGCCCATGGGTCATGGGTCGGGAGGATCAGGCATTTGGGTTCATCAACGATATGACCCGGTGGGCCGGCCCAGTACGACACATGCAGTTCAGGACGGTGCGTTTTTCTGATTCTTCTCTTTCCCCCAATCCCTAAACCCTTTCTTCATTGCACTTCAATCTTTCTATTTCAGTTAGCAGGTTCCACTGCTCCACCCTGAAGGCAACGAATTACGGCTCGCAATTGAAGTGTTCGATCCGGGCGTGCCCATACACCTAATCAATTTGCCTATGGGCTGCATTTTGGGGTTTTAGCATCACGTTTCTCGCACCAGAGTGGATTTGAACTACGAGTGTGGTATGTCTTTATCTGATTCGAAGTTTGGATTTTTTTGGGTTATATTGCAACCCTATTGATGAATCTGGGTTGAATTTTGAAATTTAAACAAGTTATTGTGTTTTTTTTTTTTACTTTCTGTTCTCTTTTTTTTTTTTTTGTAGGGATTGGAGGCAAAAATGAGAGTGATTCAGAAATTTTTCATTGCATCACTGTTCATGTGGGCAATCCCTATTGCAATATTATATGCTTTTAACCATAATATGCTTCCTGGTAAGATTCTAAAGTATTCAAGCTTTATATGGGTTGTTGTTTTGAAGTGAGTGTTGGTTTGTACTCTAATTTATGTGCCTTATGTCTTCTACCTGTTGACCTACTGAAGCTCCTTTCAGGGAAAAATCTGTGTATATGTTTATTATTATTTCTAGGTAATCATTGTTACTTGGTTTTGTGTTTTCCTGTTGAGGAGATGCTACTTCACTGTTTTTTTATTATCAAAAACTAAAAATAAGAATGTTGATCTTGACAACTGATGATCTGAAAGGAAAATGTATTTGCTTGTCATATAAAGCCTGACATAGAATTTATCTATTCAAACCATGAACCTCTAAGGAAATGGATGGTTTTGCTCATATGGTATAGTATATGTCGCTATACAGGAAGGTAATTTGATGCTTTTGATGGGGTTAAATTTGCTAAAGTTGGTAATACAATCATTATGATGGAGTTACACCTATCATCGAAATCCTTACATGGTCTGAAGAAGTAAATTATGATAACTGGTGATTGACTTTGCACATTGGAGCTAGTTTTTTGCATTACATGCTATTTGGAAATGGTGGTGAAATGGTGGTAGTCTATTTTTGTGTCTTCTTTTTTCCTCCATTTCTATCTTATGGCAGTAGTTATTTGCTAAGCACATTTGAAAGTGGTAATTTTTTGATGTTTTTGTGAATCTTGATCACTGCTTTTAGTCAGTTCTTCAAAATGCCGTCTGGATCAGTTTAATTCTTTAAGCAATTGTTTTACTCTTTTAATTCATATTCACTTGTCTTATTGGACTGGCATCTAAATGCTCGCATACTAAGGGTAAGGCTCTTCAAATGTAGATTTCCCCCTGTCATGTTTATGTGATGCTTCATTCCCCTTGCCTGTTGAGAATGGATCTAATCATTTTTCATTTCTTTCCTTCAACTTTTCTCAACCCATTGGAAATAAGGCCCAATGGAAAAATGGAATAAAAGTTGTAAAACTACCACCTTACTCGTGCTTCGGTCTATGTAACAGGAACATCCAATTTATCCCCTTACTCTGTGACACTAGTGAGTGGATTTCTTGCCGTCATATCCGTTAATGTAGTCATAGCATTTTACATATATTTGGCAATGAGAGAACCAGCAGCAGATAAACATGAGCCTGATCCTAAGTTTCTTGCTGAGGCCAAAGCTAGTATGAATCAGTCTACTGGAGATGCTCAGCAATCTTCCCAGCCTCTCAAGAAACAACAGTAGATGTTGTTCCAAGACCATTTTGTTGTACTCACAAGGTGTTCTTATCTTGGGATGGAGAGGGAAGAACGGGGATGAAGGGAGAAGGTCCTGAATTGTGTTCCAATGATGCTTCTGTTATGAAGTTTGCACATTTATGTTTCCATGTGTTACTTTCATGGCATTTTTTTATATATATATACGTACAAAATTACTTTCAGTTCAGAATATGTTATAGACTTTTTCTTCTCCATTTTACTATTGTGGTTTCAATGCATTAGAGAAAGTTATTCTCCGAGATTTATCTATGATTTAAAAATTACATAAAGCATCCCATATTACGTGTTCAAAACTACCATTAGCATAAAATAATGGACATGGAGTTTAGTTAATCCTAAACCATACTACTATCATTACCCGGCCACATTTTGTTTCTTCTGATTTGTCTCTCAGTGGGTGACTTCAACGCATTGTTTGAGTCAAGCCATATCTTCTTACCAACTTTCCAATTAATCTTTTTACTATTTTATAAAGTAAGTATTAAAAATATGTATATATAATAATTTTTTAATCAATAATTAGGAAGATTAATAAGATTACAAGATAGGAGAATAATTATAAAACCCAAAAACACTAATCCACTAATGTTTCACGGTTGCTTGGGTAAGTGCCTTGAGATCGTTTATTAGAGGTGAATGTTAACTACTGTCTTTAGAGCACTTGTTAATGAATTATTAGAAAAGAAAAAAAAAAGTTAATGTATTTTCACTATGATTTCTAAATTTTTTATTATTATTTTTGTTACTTTTCAATTTATTAACAAATATTCTTTTTATATTGGTTAGCAAGAGTTTTTATTAAAATAAAAAACAAGTGCCGCCTCAATGTACCATATCTGCCTCAATGTACCATATCTCCATGTCATACGTAACACTTCTACCACTATGATTATGCTTTCAATTCGTTTAATTGAAAGAATTGACTTTAAAATTATTTCATTTAAAATAATTATTAGAAAAGTAAGTTTAAAATTAAAATTTTTTTATTAAAGGTGATGAAGTGTAGCTTTAGCTATCGACTCATTGGTCTTCCAAGCAATTAATGAGGTACTTGTGCTCAAAAGATTAAAAAGAAATATTGAAAAAACTTAAAGGTATTTATTACAGTACTTCTAAATTTGAAAGAACATTATATACTCTCTAAATTAAAAGGTGTGATTTCTTTATTATCTTCTAAATTAAATGGTATTTATATCTTTTTCAAATAAATTACTAACTCCATTACTTAAGAGAATATAAAATATCTTTTCATTTATAGAGCATCATAAGATTTACTAAATTTAAAATATAACCAAATGGAGTAAAACAATATAATAGTAACTATGAAAATACTGGAAGAATATGATTCATCATTCAAATATTTCAATTCATTTTACAAAGATGCAAATTCTACACCATGAAGTAAAAAAATGGTAGCAGATATCTGATTTTCAGTTGTATCTGTTTTGGTGCTCCCTTGATTCCATTCCTTTATGACCAAAGTTGAGGCTTCCTAAAAAAAATTCTCTCCAATTAATTAATAGTCTAGTAAGAGAAAAAAACACTTTGCAGACTCCACCAAATAGATGTGTTTTTCTCTCTTCTACTTGTCCATCCGGTCACTGGAGAGACCCTTAGCTCAGCCTTAAGGTTGGATTTTGTATCAATTCTATGTCAACATTCCTGGATGGACCTCTTTCTAGGCTCTCCCTAGACCCGCTGATTGGTTCAATAAAGTACTCACTGATACCTATAACTTGGTCTTCACTATGAGAAGCAGCATTAGACCGGCAAATTGGACAAATGGGCGTCTTTAGAAGCCATGTGTCCACACTTCGAGCATGAAAACTGTGCTTGCACATAGGTAACAGTCTGCACTTATCACCTGTAATGAGGTTCTCCAAGCAAACTGCACAATCCACAGGGCTGCTTGTATTGTCTTTGGCAACATAATCATAGCATGGAAGCTTCTCCAAGTCAGTTATGGACATGCTTTTGCCACCATTTGTACCCCTCTCAATCATTGATCCTCTACCTTCTCTCCTATAGAGTCTCTCAGTAAAACAAACATGAAGTAGGACTAGGAACACAATTCCCACAAATATAAATAATACAAATAAAATAACTGCCATTATCAACGCTAGTTCTGAAAAACTAGTAAGTTTTCTAAACTTGGATTCATGATATAATGTATTACATGCTAAATAAATGTTGAAAAAAATCTGCTAAGCCCCTTTCCAATCAATGGCTATTTCAAGCTTCATCACACTGTGCATTATTGTTGTACCTACAGAATAAACTCTCAAACTTGCATGCAATCTTTGTTTGCACCTCGAGTCTTGATTGTGCAAATTCTGTGGTTGGATCTATTATCAAATATCGTAAGAAAGTAGATGCAGGGATCTAGCACAAGGTTTTGTCATAGAAACACAAATCTCTTTGTTCTAATGAGCCTGAGAATTTCAATTTATAAGAAGTTCAGAATATAATTGTACATCATCAATAAGTTTGGTCTTTTTCTTTCCCTTTTATTTTTCGTCTTTTGTGTATTAGGTGAGTCTGGAATGTTGATGGAGTGGGTGGAAAAGTAACTAGTTTTTACAAGTGGAAGCTAAAAATCACGGTTAGCTTGTAATATGAACTTTTTTCTCTTTATCTTCTTTCCCTTTTCTCTTTGCTTTCCACCCTTTTTCATGTTTGGTTTTGGCAGTATATACCCTTTTTTCCAATTGCAATGAGACACATGATAAAACTTTCAAGGATTGGTTCATCCAAAAATTTAAAATACTATAATAGTATCATTGGTAACTCATGTTCTTTGTCTATGTACCTATTTCCAATTTTTTTTTTTTATGACACTATTTCCATTGCACCTTGTCAACATCTTTAGTGGAGACTTGATTAAAAAATATTTTAATGAAATGGACGAAAGATAGAGAGAGATGTGAAGAAAATGTACAAGAATAATTCTGCAAAAGCATAACTTCTTTTTCTTGGGTACATTAGTTATTAGTAAGTTTAATTGTGATATTCTTAGCCTTTCAACAATAATATTAAACGTTTTGTGGTCATTGCTTTACGTCATAAATTGAAATGGGAACTTGCATAAAGAAACAACTGCTGTTGTGAACAGTGAAGGCAATATGTTTCACCTTTTTTATTTTAAATTTTGTTTAAGAATTTTGAAAGAGAGAAAAGAAAATAGTTTAGAAGATAATAAAAAAAAGAAGGGAGGAAGAATGAAGATTAATACAAAACCCATTATACTAAAAAAACTTGAAAATATAAGATTAAGAAGGTTATAAGAGATTTATAATCTCTTCCTCTTTCATTTATAAACTCTTAAATAAAAATAATCGTTACATAAATCTTTTCTTATTTAAAGATAAACTATAAAATAAAGTCTTAATATATCTTTTTTTTAAATAAATATTTATTTTAAATTACCACACATGCATGCAACATCATTATTATTTTATTTTTAAAAAGTAATTCATCACTTTTTGTGTACGATGAGAATAAGAAACCAAACTAAAGTCAACTGTATTATGAAAGAAATAAATTAATATTATTTTTTGTTATTAAAGAACTAAAATATAATTAGTTATTAAAACTAATAGGTGCTTTTTGTGCACATCTTCAGTTTTTTTTAGTCAAAAACTATATAATAAAAAAAAACATTTGATTTACTCATTAATGAAATTTAATTTATTTTATTCAAGTCAAATAAATATGAAAAGAAATTATACTTATAATTATGGAAAGTGTATGCAAGAAAATATAATAATTTTCTTTAATTAATACTTTTATAATTCGATTGAGTATATATAAATGATATTTTGAATTTAGAAAGTTATAAAATGCGAATGGATTTGCTTTTTAAAAATTTGATTTAACTAATTTTGTAACCAGTGAAATACACATGTATTCTATTTTGAAATAAATAAATATATAATTTAATAATTAAAAATAAAATTTTATATTTTGGTAATTAATTATATATATAATAAAATTATTTTAAAAATATATCTTGACTTAATTTTATAACTACAAATAATATGTATTAAAATGATAATAATTAAATAATTTTAGAATATTTATTTTAATATAATGCTTGTATCATATAGTATAAAAAAACTTTTTAATTAAATAAAATAATTAATGTTATTAATAATCATAAACTTAAGAGAAAAGTAAACTTTAAATTTTAAAAAAATAAAGATAATTTTTATAAATATAAAAATAAGTAATTTTGAAAATAAAAAAATAAAATAATAAGAGAAAATTAAGTAACAGCTTTAATTAAATTATTATAATAACAAGAAATGTAATTCACACATTATTTAGTGTCAATTTTAATCTTAATCTTAGAATGTATACATGACAAATTATAAAGAAGAGTAATTTTATTAAGACTTCATTTCTTAAATAATAAATTTTCTTTTATAATATAGAGGTTAATTATTTAGGATATATAATTTGTTGAAATTTGATAGTATTCAAATGAATTTTATTTGATTTATAGTTTAATCAATTGGATCGATAAGTTTATCATGATCAGTCTAATGATTTCACCTAATTTAAGGTAATTTTCTTGCAAACACACCATGATAGTGTTGGAGAGTTTTATGCTAGTTGACAATGGCAGTTCACCTCATCTTTACACTTTTACAGTAAAGCAACGCATAGACAATAGTTTCTTTCTCTTCACCACATCAGGGACATATTTCATCTACATTCAGACCCTTTGTTAATGGAATCCTCGGACATTAATAACATCTTTTACTATTGTAATTCACATGAGAGAACCATTGTGTTTCTTTTTAGCTCTTCTTCAGATCAATACTAATGTTAAAATAATAGTTTTATATCAATGAATTAGCAACAAATTCAAAAGTTTCATAAATGTAAAATTGACTAAAGTATTTCAGATAAATGAGTCACTTAAGCTTATAGTTTATAATCTTTCATAAAAACCAGCTTATATTCAAAATTCTAATGTAATATCAAGTCTCAAAATATATAAAAAAAGAAAAAGAAAAAGGTTAAGCATAAAAACACTTGTAATACTATAAAATAAAGAAGAAAAAAAGATTACAAGTCCATGTAATAAAAATAAAGCTTAAGATAAAGACCCAAACTTAAATACATAGTCCTAGTTTAAAAAAGGTTACAAATATAAGTCATGAAGTAATTTGAACTTTAAGAAGAGTGTTGAAATAATTTTGTTTCACATTGATGAGTAGCAATAAATAAAAAGGTATGTTAGTAAGAGAAGAATAATTCTTAAATTTCCTAAAATATTTTAAACAAACAAGTCATGCATTTCAAAACATTATTAATAAAGCTATAAAACTCCTAAAACCAATGCTAATTTTGCTTTTAAATTAGTTATCCTTCTCCATTTCTCCCTATGGATCTTTCTATTGTCAATATTACCACCCCAAATAAAATTTGCTAATCATGCTTTGTACTTGATTAAGTCTAATAGATTATGTTTATGAGTTGACAATGTTGAGTAGGACAAGTTTACATTAGAACTCTAAGGACCAAATGTTCGCTATTTGTGTTTTACATTATCTACAATTATGATCAATCATATTCGTAAGAAGACAAAAAAATTTTATTACTTCGTAAAATCCAAAACATTTAGAGTTGGAAAAAAAATAATATACAAACCATGACATTGTTTTTAGTGGTCAGAGTAAAAAATTAAATGACATGGTTGAAGATTGCAAACTCTTTTATCTTTTTTTTTTATTATTATTATAATACAGATCGATTTTAAAAAGGATCATATTTGAATTGACTAATTAATCAAAATCATTATAATTTTTTTGGTGTGTCTATTATTACTTTTAAATTTTTATTGTTTAAATTATATTTTTTTCTTTAACTATTTTAAATGTAGAAGTAGCATTTTTTACGTAAAAATATAGTAAATAGAATATGATACTAACAATAAATACTCTTCGAAATCATATAGCAAACCCTATTATAGAAAAAATAGTTATATTAGGCCTGCATTTTTAAAAAAATATTAATTGAAAAATGTTAAATATTTTTATATTTTTAAGATAATGAATATATCTTTATTTAATACATACTTTTTACAGAGTGATAAAAAAATTATTAAGATGATTTGCCAAACTATATGAAAAAAATTCTTAAAGATATCTTGATATATTTTTGTTATTGTGTAATAAAAACACATATATAGTCTGTTTGTAAAGATTTACATTCATATGTATGTGTTGATATTTGTGGCATATTTCTAAGACAACAAAACGATATTTAATTTGTTGGGTGTTAGATTTTTTACATATTCTTTAAAATTTATATTACTTTTAATTTTTTTTTGAAAATTTTTAAATGGGCCAAATTGTCATTTGCACCTTAAAAGTATGCAAATTAATATTTTCAGCTCATTTAAAAATTAGGATAAGTGCAACTAGACAATTTGATCCATTTTATCATCCTACTCACTCTTAGTTGCTATCTTATTCTTTATAAGCATGTTATAATTTAAAAATAATGTTGCATTAATTATTTTATGATTTATTTGATTATCATTTTTAGCATATGTTTGTATTTACATTTATTTTTTTTAAAGCCACATTCAGTTTAACACTACCAAATAGGGGTGTGGATCGTGTGATTAGACATGATTGGTTTAGGTTTAGATGAAAAATTAAAATCTTTTAGTTTAGTTTGATATTGATGTAATTTCAACAAATTATTTAAACCAATCTAATCATGGGTTAATCTAGTTTAAATGATCGAGTCTTTAAATTTTTTTTTAAGAAAATAGAGAATAACTTTTAAAATAATAAAAAATTTAGAAGGCATAGAAGAAATTATAAAATAATCAGGAGAAGTTTATGTGCACTATTTATGTAGTCCTCTCTATGTTGTTAAATTGTTTAAATGATGTTGTTGTATGTAAGTAAAAACTAAAAAGTAATTTTAAATATTAATAGTATAGTAATTGAGTTGGGTCATTAGATAATTTAACTTATTTTCTAAAATTCGATACTCAAATTAATTAAATCGAGTATATTGCTATTTAAACCAAACCAAATCAATAATCTAACCTGACTTTGGAGTTTTTAATTACTATATTAATAATTGTAATAATATTTTTGCATGACTTTTTACTACACTAAATGATTTAATTTTGAATTAAAATAAAGACCATAGAAATAAAATTATTAAATAAATTATATGAAAGTAATTTATTAGTTAACAACTCAAATTCAAAATTTTTTATTGTAAAAATTGAAATATTTATATTCATCTGATTTTTAGAGATTAAAAAAATTTGTGTTAATTTTTAATTAAGTTTAATGTGTTGAAAATAGACAAGCTCTATAATCCTAGATACTTTTGTCAATAGTTAATAATAGTTTTTTTTGCCATATATTTAGTTTTTGCCATATCTTAGATTTTTCAATGCCACTCGGGTTGAATAAGATATTTAATAAATTGTGCTTGTGAAAAAATATTTTATAATTTTTGATAGATTAATGTGAAAGTAAAGTTTTATAAAAATTATATTTTGTTTACAATTACTTAAAAGGAAAATAAAAATGGTGCAGTTTGCAAATCCATGCATTCATGTATTCTCTACAATTTAGAATTGTTAGATTAAAAATAAGCCACTTAGATTTTATTGTGTGTCTTAAGATTGATTTTTCAATATCAAAATTTGATATATAAATTTAGTGATTGAAGGGAATCCAAATCTGTCCAAATATGTAAAAAATTTTAACAAAAAATTATATAAATAAATATAAATAGTAAAAGTAAAACTTTCAGTATTTGTTGTAACGTGGACAGTACAGGCTTGCACATCCATTGTGAGTTTAGTGAAGTTTATTTTAAATTAGAAAGTTTTCTGTGCACTGTATACATTTTATTAAATTTAAAATAAAATATTTAAATAAAAAATTTAAAATAAATATATAATTATTTTAAATTTAATAAATTCTTATTTTATAAAAATAAATTTTATCATTAATTTTTATAATAAATATTTTACTATATTAAATAAGATTAAATTAAGAAAATAAAATTTTAAATAACTAGAAAATAAACTATGAAAAATATAAAACATAAAGTTTCAATTTTAAAAGTACTTAAAGTAAAAAAAACTGCATGACATAATGAGTGAGAGAATAATTCCTAAAAATATTGTTATTTAACATAACTTTTTAAAAATCTATGAAATTTACATTGTAATGAAATTTAAAAAAAGGAAAATTATTTAGCATAATAAAACAACTAATCCTTAAATTTTTTATTGGAAAATAATTTTAAAACATTTTTTATTAAAAATATTCTCATTCAAAATTTAGCATTTACAATAAATAAATAAATAAATATATATATATATATATATATATATATATATATATATATCAAGATTAACATTAAACAGTATTTATTAATTTTTTTATAAATTTAAGATGATAATGAATTTTGAAATCTTAATAATAAAACTAAATATATATTTTTGATTTCTTACATTTATTTTGATGACTAATATTATTAGTTGGTACTTTACACGACAGAAAACGAAGAAAAACCATAAAGAAGCATCTAAGCAAACAGGCCACAACCTACAGGTGTCGCTCCACATCAGCGAGAACCTCTCCAAAGAAAGTACACTCTCATCAACACAACCATTACCTTTTTCACACTAACCATTAATTCCATAACTTTATAAAATATATACATTTTTTTTCTAATTTTTTTCAACATTTCTTATTTAAAACAATACCTTTTTCATTCTAAAAATTATAAATAAACCACTTTTAAGAAAGTGACACCACAAATATAAATAATTTTTAACTAATATTTTTATACTATTAATAAGAATACGATTGCATATTATTTTTTTATATTAAAAAAGTATCAAGACAAAATAAAATAATTTAAAAAAATTATAAGTAATTTTTATAAGTTGATGATACTAATTTTCTTCTTTCTTCATTTAAGTTATTTTATTTAAGAAAGAAATAATTAATTAATTTTGGATATAAATAATTACCAGCTTTCGCAGTTGAACAGAGAAAAAAAAAAGGGAGTAGAAACTGAGAAAGAGATTTACGAGTTTACGCTGTGATACAGATACGGTCCCATCCCTGTCTTTCTCTTTTCCTGTTTTCTCTCTCTTCTTCTCTTTTCTCTCTCTCTTTCGTTGCTTCAATCTCAGTTCCGCTTTCGATCCGCGCCCTGCTTCGCAATCTCTGGAATCGCACAATGGTACAACGGCAAAGCCCTAACTCGTCGCCGTGTGACTCAGTGCCAACTCTCCGATGATCATGGAACTCACCGATTCCACTGCCGGCGACCGCAACCTCAACGCGCCGCCGCACCACCAAGACTCTCGGTCGGGCCTCGGAATCGACCTCAACGAGATCCCTTCCCCTCCCTCTTCCTTCGTCGAAACCCTACCGGACTCCGCCGTCGACATCGTCCGCGCCTACCATGAGAACCCCGCGCCTCCGCCCGGCGGCCCCGCCGCCCTCCCCCGAGCCCTCGCTCCATGCGCCGCCTGCGCCAAGCCAGAGACTCGCGCCTCTACCGGGAGCCACCACCTCGTCGTCTGCGACGCCTGCGAGCGCGGCTTTCACTTGGCATGCGCCGGGATTCGCGGCGGCGGCCGCCAGGCGCCTAGCTTCGACGAGTGGGTCTGCGGCGAGTGCGTGTCCGGGGGAGTGAAGAGTAAACGGTGGCCGTTGGGAGTTAAGTCCAAGCAGCTTCTTGATATCAACGCTTCGCCGCCCAGCGACGCCGACGGAGATGGCAGCGGCGAGGAGTCGCAGGATTTGAGGTATGGAAGATTTCTCAAGCTTCCTTGTTCTGTTATATAGTGTGTAAACTTATGTTTTCAGTTAGCTGTTGTTCTTGTTCAGTGCAGTGTTTGTAGTAAAGTTAAACCCTTTTAGGAGGTTTTTCATTAGGGTGGTTGTAAATGAGTGACCTACCTTACTGTGATAGTGTCATTCAAGGAATGAACAAGTTTTAAGGGTGGCGGGATCAATGTGCATGCTTTAGTGTCTCGCTGTTGTGCTGAGAAACGAGTTTTTTCTTTCCTTTGGTCCATTTTCTGTTTTCAGGTGTTCAAATTCTGGAAAGTAGGTTAGGTTACTGTAGTAATTTTTAATGTTTTTGGAAAATGCTTGCTCTTGTGAAAAGAGTTTTGTGAATGTTTCAATACTGAAGTAGTTGGCTGGTAGAATATGATGGATGGTAGAATATGTGGCCAGTTATTTCCAGGATCACTTTTTTCTTTAACTATGTATCTGGCTGGTAGAATATGATGGATGGTAGAATATGTGAGCAGTTATTTCCCGGATCACTTTTTTCTTTAACTATGTATCTATCTAAATGGAGTCCCGTTTTTGTAGTGAACCACGGGTAATTTCTCTCGTTAACTATGTATCTATCTAATTGGAGTCCCGTTTTTGTAGTGAACCACGTGTAATTTCTCTCTTTAACTATGTATCTATCTAAATGGAGTCCGGTTTTTGTAGTCAACCACGTGTAATTTCTCTCCTTTTTTTTGGGTGATAAGTAGCAGATCTCTTTATTTTTAGTATACAAAATAGCAAGCACCTGTGCATTGCAGGTAGAATAGGCGGCCTGGTGGAGAATCGAACCCGTTATGTTTTAATCACTCTCAGCATTGAGGCTATGGTAGGTGCCAGTTGAGCTATAAGCTTGTTGGCTTCTATAGTTTTTGTTATGCTTTTAATTGCTTCGATGCTACCGCATTTTCAAGTTTCCATTTTCAAAATTGACTTGATGCCATTATGGTAAACATTTTCATTAAACACAACCAGACAAATTTTCAAGCCGTTCCCGTTTTTCGGAAACAGGAAATACACCGATTAAATGCGCTTATATATCTATTTTGCGCACCTTTGCCGAAATGTTTGTGGGCCAATATGGTACAAAGGTAAAGGGAATGGAATTTCATATGGTGTTATTGTTTTTCTGTTAATTGGAAGAAACTTAGTGTGAATAAAAATTGAAGTAAAATTTTGGGGACATTTATGGAATTAAGGTTAGGTTTAGGTGACAGAATTGGAGCATAGTTCATAATTTTAAATTTAACTCTGTTTCTGTCGAAATTGGATTTGATGTATGGGCCTTGCAAAAAATTAAGTGTGGAATTGGACTTCTAAATTCAATTCCTATTCCCTCAAAGCCCAAATTGGTTTACATATCTGTCAGTTATCCAGATACCACTAATTCCTATAGTGACTAGGAAGGAGAGTGCTTCCCTTGTAAGAGAGTGAAGTGATATATCCACCAGATTTACATCTAGCCCACTTGCAAAACCTAGATATCGCCGCTACTAATGCTAGAAGAGACCTGCTGCAGAAGCCACTTCTTGCGAGCTGCTTGTCAAGGTTTCTGCAGTCAGCAACAGTAGGAAGTTCTGTGCAGCGCGACTGAGACCTTGGGGAAAATAGGCGATTTAGATTCAAGATTCTGTGAGACATGCGCGGCCCTGTTTTGGTGCTCATGATGCCACTGAGGAAGCAGCAATGGTAGACAACAAAGCTGAAATTAAGCTTTGTGGTGTCACTTGCCTAACAATCTTTCTTGTGACATACGCTGCTAGCGAGAGAGAAGCCCGGTGCATACCTTGTCAAAGATCGTTGATTATATTTGAAAAAGTAGGGGAGATAAGTGTTTTTGATTTTTGGATTGAGCGCAATTTTAATTCGCATATATGGATTTGATGACTTTTAGAGCGCTGGTTAAGAATTAAAAAGGTTTGACCTAGTTATATTGTAATTCCATAGAGTTGTCATATAGGATTATCATTTTAATTCTAATAGGGTTTCCAAACATAAAACTAAAATTAATAGCTCTGATTCCAATTCTGGATACTAAATAGGCACAGATTTCTCTAAATATGAGGAATTTAGGATGAATTGGCTCTTTCATATGGAAAGTGTTAACACCTCGTCGTTTACAGTTTTCCCAAACATTGCTTGTTCTTTTAGTACCTGACTGCCAGTCACCTATTCTTTCGTATCCTCCCTTGATTTACTGGCACACTGTCATTGTGTGGGTGATTTCTACCCTGCCTTAGCATTGCCAGTACTGGTATTGTCCATTATTTAAATCATAACTACCGTATGGATGCTTCTTATTGTTATCTTCAGTGCAAATTAATTTGAAATGCCACTTGACTTTAGCAGTGTGTGAACACCATAGCGCTTAGCCTACCAGTATATCTGTTTACCCTGGCGGCCTTAACTATTATTGATTTTCATGATAACGCTTAAGAATAAATTTCAAGAAAGATATATGTGAATTGTTGGATGTCATATTCTGATGTTTATTTAAACTCTGAATTACTGAAATGCTTTGGGTTGCTTGGCTGCTAATAGCTGAATTTTGGGGGTACTTTATTGTAATCTCTGTACTGGTTTATTTGTGTCTTTTAATGTATTGATGTAATAATTTAATTTCCTGAAGTCAGTTGTTATAAGTAGTTACTGTTTATGTTTATTTTGGTTTTAGAAAGCACCCTCTGGGTGATAATTCTTTTGGTGCCAATCCCTTTGGTGCCCCAGTGACGCATTCAAACTTCTACAACGGGAGTGCTCTTGGCTTTCAAAAGGCATCTGGAGTTGTGACACATGCTGTTAGAGCGGGTTTTGAGGATATATTGAATCATACCCAATCAATGACTAGAAGCTTTGAGAAGGCATATATGGATTTCCCTCTTGGAATTCATAGCAGTAGTAATAATACAGCTAATAGAATGCCATCTCGGAGTTCAAATGAGATGTTTTTGCAGGCTCTTAAAGATTTTATATCTCAAAGGCATGGTGTACTAGAGGAAGGTTGGCGGGTGGAATTAAGACAATCCACAAGCAGCTCTCAACTGTATGCAGTTTATTGTGCACCAGATGGAAAGATATTTGATTCTGTGTATGAAGTAGCTTGTTATTTGGGGGTAGGATCTGGCTACAATTCTAGGGAATCTGAAATAAGAAATGAGAGGTCCAGGAAAAGAAAGTCTACAAGAACTCCAGTAGCCAATGGCTTTGCAGAAAAGCGGGGAACCTTGATCAATAGTAATTGTAAGGATCCTCCTTCTGATGGTTTAAATGTGGAATGTGCTAGTGCTAGGGGGAATATCTCAAATACCTCTGAAATTGGAAGAAAAGAAGATGGCCAGTCATGCCCTCAGCAATCTGCTGTAAGTGATTCTAATCAATATTCCATCATGCTTTGTTGTGAAACTTGTTTCATACCATTAATTTTTCTGGTATTAATATAAATTCAGGGGATTATGATGGTGAATCTGAAATTAACTATTGCTGCCTGATTTTTTTGTTTTCTGTTTCAGGATGGACTTCCTCTACAGTTCAAGGATTTCTTTGTTCTTTCTTTGGGAAAAATTGATGGAAGACCTTTATATTATGATGTTAACCTTATCTTTCCTGTAGGTTATAAATCTTGTTGGCATGACAAGATTACTGGCTCTCTTTTTACATGTGAAGTTTTGGAGGGCGGTGATTCTGGACCTATATTTAGGATCAGAAGGTGTTCCTGTTCAGAATTTCCTGTTCCAGTTGGCTCAACTATCCTCTCAATTTCATGTCTTCGTCAATTTGTGAGTCAAACCAATGAAGGTGAAAAAAAGACTAATGATAGTGTGGATTTGGAAGGTGATGAAAGTATCCAGATGCTGCTTTTAGAACCTTGTGTGCCAACAGAAGATGACGTCTTAAGTTGCTTTGCAAGCTGCTCGAATGAAGCATGTGATATACTGCCTGTTACTGCTTCAGTTCATGATAATACTAGAAATTCATTAGCTGATAACATAGGGTTTATTGATGAAATTGGTGAAATTTTAGTAGAAGAGCGGTCATCATTCTCTGCATGGAGTGTTATTTCTCAAAAGTTAGTTAATGCTTGCAAAGATGTTTGCAAACAGAAAGGATCTCTCAAGTTCTATTGTAAACATGTTGAAAATGAAGCATGCTTACGTAACTGGGATTTAAGGAATGGAAAAAGTGATACACACCTTACTTCATTGGATAAATTTTGTGGTTCACTTGGTTCAGTTGGCATTCCTGATGTAATTTATGCAGAAAATGACCTGAAAGGGCTCTACGAGGTATTAGGAAAATGGTTGGAGCAGGATAGATTTGGATTAGATGTTGAATTTGTGCAAGAAGTATTGGAACAGCTTCCTGGTGTCGAAGACACTTTGCAATATGAGCTTCTACATAGTAGAAATAATAGCTCTTCATTGCCAACAGTAGAAAATGGTTTCTTAAGTGTTGAATGTAATAGAGATGGATCAAAAAGTCAGGAAGCAGTTCAAGGTTTATATAGGGGGCCCAATAAGGCGAGGTTGACTGAAAAACAAAAGGAAGATCGTTGTCCACCTCCTGGGAAGTCACTATGCTCTAGGGCTCCTACTGAGCTTGTTGGTGACATTTTCCAGGTATACAATTACTTGCCAATAGTGCAACTGAAATATCTTTATTTATGCTTTTGCATTATTTTGCTTTTTTATTTATAGAGGAATGTTAGCCACACACTCTTTCAAACACACTTTCTACTATTGGCTAAACTCTATTAGAAAATACAAAATTATGAGTGAGAGACTGAGACTGATAAAAAAATTCTCACATTTTTTTGCTTTTATCTTCCAGGCTTGGGAGCTTTTAGAGCGATTTCATGAAATTCTCGACCTGAAAGATCTATTGTCATTAGATGAGCTTGAAAAGGAACTTATCAACCCTTGGTTTGATGTGCTGGATGTTCCTGAGAAATCTGATGGGGAAATGGAGGGCAATCAAGTTTTAAGTTCCCAAGGAGCTGATGGTGATTGCGGACTAATATTGTCCCCAAGATGTGAAGCTGGTCCATCAGGTTCTGTAGAAAGTTCTCATGCATTTATACAAGTGGAAACAGAAGCAATGAAAGAGGCAGCTCAGGTTAAGCTTGCATCTTTCACTTATGCCAGATGCTTCGGTCAAGCTTTGACCAAGGCTCATAATTCATTGCTAAAAGTGTTAATAGGTGAATTACTATCAAAAGTGGCTGCCCTGGTGGATCCAAATTCTGAACCTGGAGAAACACGAACACGACGGGGAAGAAGGAAAGATATAGATAGTGCAGTTCCTGCTAAACGAAACAAGCTCAATATGCTTCCTATTAATGAACTCACTTGGCCAGAATTAGCTCGTAGATATATCTTGGCTTTCTTATCGATGGATGGTAACCTTGAGTCTGCAGAAATTACTGCTCGGGAAAGTGGTAAAGTATTTCGTTGCTTACGGGGTGATGGTGGTTTGCTGTGTGGTTCTCTTACTGGTGTGGCTGGGATGGAAGCAGATGCACTGGTGAGCATAACTTTTGTCTTTAAACAGTGGTTGAGCAATTTTATCTTTGCCTGGGCTAATATATTATTATTAGATACTCATTTGCTTCACAGTGATAGTATTTGCGCCTTGATGTAAATTAATTTGGCATTCTGACACAGTTCTAAAATATTGGTTTTAATGGTTCTGAAACGAGATTAGAACTTGATATTCTGGGGTGGGGTCTAGAGGCCACTTTTGATTTATGTGGACAATTAAGATAAGTTCATTTATTAATGTAGGCTATGAAAGCATGTTACAACTTATGAACAGAAAGGAAGTTGACACTTGATAATTACTTTATGGGATATGAACTGGAGTTTTAACTCATTAACACTAGTTGATGGAAAGTTTGTTTTGATATGAAAGAAGGAAATCTTGGAGTGGGAATTAGGCCAAAGAAATGCCCATAACTGAGGAAAATGACAGGATTTTGATTAAGAAGAACCAGGGATAAATTATGATGCTTATACTGTGGGAAATGTGTTTAGCATGCAGAATTGCTATTGAGATTAGGATATTTCATCTTAAATACAAAATCTCTCCATAGCATTTTACTAGTTGTTTTTAAAACTATAATCCTGGATTCCCAATGACAATTGTTCCTCAAATCATGCTACGCCCAACCAATTCACATTAGACTGTTGTTCCTTCATGGTTGAGAAAACATGTTTGCAAAATGTATGTCAGGATGATTTACTGCTAAAGTTTAATTTTTCTTCTTCCTATAATGCTGTCAAAGTATACCATACCAAACCTATATCATCTTGGACGGGTTATATGTACATTTTGATATGGTGTAGTTTTCTTCCTTTACTTCAGCTTTGTCATAGCATGGCTGGAGTGCTTGTTTCTTCCGGCAATTCAATTTCCTTTTAAAAGGTCTTTCTTATGTCATACTGTTGGGCACTGGCATCAGCAGGAAAATAGAATTTGGAAAATGTATGTGACAATAAATAATAAGTGGTTAGTTTGTTAAAAGTTAGTTACACTGACAGCTGTATGATTTGATGGTTAGAGGTTTAATAGCAGGAGCTTTAATCTCTAGTTAACTGGGTTTCAGTTATAGGAGGTGACCGGTGACTACTCTTGTAAGGTGGTTACTCTTTCTGAATAGCAGTATGAACAGAGTTCTTTCTCTCTCATCTTCCTCCCTTTTATCTTTTTCTACCTATTCTGCACCTATTTCAATTCCTGGTTCCCAGCGCGTACAATGTATTTATATTTTATATTTTACTGCTGATCATACTTTTCTAGACTATAATTCAAGTAGTTAAATGGAAAAGAATGATACTGAAGGTCTTTTATTTTTTTTTATATATTTGGCTCAGTTGCTTGCGGAGGCTACAAAGAAAATTTTTGGTTCTTTGAGCCTAGAACATGACGTATTATCCATGGAAGAAGAGGAGTCTGATGCCAAGGGTGCTTCTGAAAAAAGTTTGGTGAATGACAGCAACATTCCTGAATGGGCACAGATGTTAGAACCTGTCAGAAAGCTGCCAACAAATGTAGGCACCCGAATCAGAAAGTGTGTTTACGATGCTTTGGCCAAGGATCCACCAGAATGGGCAAGGAAAATTCTGGAGCATTCAATTAGTAAGGAAGTGTACAAGGGCAATGCATCTGGACCAACAAAGGTGTTACTTGGTGGCACTTCTCCTTTACTATAATTGTCTTTAGTATTGGACATTTCCATGTATGTCACATGCACTCAAAAACAAAGTAAAACCACTATTTGTGTTGCATCAGTAAAAGTGATGGTATGGCAGTTTCTTGACCATTGGATCAGATATCTGACCAGAACCTTTTTGATATAACTCAAAGGTCCAGGAACTGTCAGCTACTAGTTGTGCTGGTGCAATGGTGAAACCATATAATTTGCTTTGTTTATTATTATTATTGTTTCCAACTATCTGGTGCATTATTATCTGTTATAATATGCCAGCCATCTTATAATTTATAATTTTCACTCCACATGTAAATGAGAACTGTGTGGTGTACCTTGGAAAACATGTAAGTTATCTAGCATTTTTTTCTCCTGTTTTTAAATCTCAATTTCTTACTGTACATTTATGTTGACAAAACTAAGAGCTTCATGTTATTCTCTATATTGATAGCTCATCTGGTTAAAGTTAACTTTGTTCTCACTATCATTTTAATTAAACATGACCCTGAATTGAATATTCTTGTTTATAAACAGAAAGCAGTTCTTTCAGTGTTAGCTGATGTAGTTGGTGAAGGATTGCAACTGAATCCCAGTAAAGGAAGGAAAAAGAAGATTGATATATCAATTTCTGACATTATCATGAAACAATGTCGCATTGTATTACGTCGTGCAGCTGCTGCAGATGATTCAAAGGTTTTTTGCAATTTGCTGGGAAGAAAATTAATAAATTCTTCAGATAATGATGATGAGGGGCTTCTTGGTTCTCCAGCTATGGTGGCCCGTCCTCTTGACTTCCGTACTATTGACCTAAGATTGGCTGCTGGAGCTTATGGTGGATCTCATGAAGCTTTTCTTGAGGATGTTCGTGAGGTCTGTATCCTATCTAACTTTGATTACTTGATCAAACAGTCTTTTATTTATTTATTTACATTTTTGTTTGGGCCAAAATTTCTGTTATTATGGTATGGTTTTTTCAGTCAAAGGTTAGTTTAAATAGTATTTTTTTAATGTTTGCTATGCCCTATTTGAGTTGTGGCTCAAGGGGCATCAAGGTTGGTTTACTCATGTTCTCCATCAAATACTGGTATCTATTATGGTTTTTTTTCTTCTAGTGGAGGTCAAGTCATTCTCACGATGTTCATAAATTTTTGACATGTGGAAGGAACTAAATTGTAGATTTGATGTTGCAGTTGTGGAACAATGTTCGTGTTGCTTTTGGGGATCAACCTGATTTAGTGGAACTGGCTGAGAAATTATCCCAAAACTTTGAATCATTGTACAATGAGGAGGTTGGTAGCTTGTTTGTGTGACATCAGTACATGTACTTTTGTGCTTTCAGTTATTAATTGAACCTTCGATTTTATCCTTGGTTCAGGTCGTTACCTATGTTCAAAAGTTTGTGGAGTATGCTAAACTGGAAAGCTTAAGTGTAGAGATGAGAAAGGAAGTCAACAATTTTATTGCATCAACAAATGAGATTCCAAAGGCACCTTGGGATGAGGGAGTCTGTAAAGTATGTGGCATTGATAGGGATGATGACAGTGTTCTACTATGTGATACTTGTGATGCAGAGTATCATACATATTGCTTGAATCCTCCTCTTGCAAGGATCCCTGAAGGAAACTGGTATTGTCCTTCTTGTGTTGATGGTAAACATGCAACTCCAGATGTTACAGAGCATACACAGATTATTGGCAAACGCCGAAGTAAAAAATTCCAGGGAGAAGTTGATTCTCTTTACTTGGAAGCTCTAACTCATTTATCAGCTGTAATTGAAGAAAAAGAATATTGGGAGTACAGCATGGGCGAGGTTTGTTGATGCACACCTACTTATGCTACCTTTTACTTTTACCTAGCTAATACTTATAAACCTTGTAGATAGAATGGCATTATTGTCTTTGTCTATTGGACTTGACATTTGTTTGTATCATATTGGAAATAATGATTTATTGGTAATTAGATAATGCTTGTATGTGCTTTCTATTCTTGATCATCTATATGGATCTTAAGTCTTAATGTGTTTTTATTATGTATTAATGATATATTGTTCCAACTCTTATAATTGCTGATTTGTATTTCTTGATTTCCTTGGGTACAAGTATAACTCATTTGCTTGTATCCGTGAAAGGTTTTTCCCTTAGAAATATTGCTTCTTCTGAGATCTCACATCGAATATTGATATGATTGAAGTAGAGTTTTCAAAGGCTTAGGCAATCCTCACCTCATGGGCCTAATTTTTGGGGTGGTGTTAGGCTTAGTTTACGTTTAAGATGATATCAGAACCTATTGTAGATCTATCATTGAGCTATTCTTGACTTTGTAAAAAGGAATCTATCCCTATGAATTTTTGTGTGTAATTAACCTTGCCCCATAGAGTTCTCTCAATACAACCTGCCTGCCCTCGTGCCTCTCCCATGCAATATACATAAAATATCAGTCCTATAATCTCCACATTCTATATGTTCAATCTTGGGCATGAAAGGGGGGTGTTAAGATCCCACATCAACTACAAATATAGTTAAAGTATAGCTTATAATAAATGTTTAGACAATCTTATTTTACGAGTTAGTTTTTGTAGTTGAATTAGGCCTAGCCTATATTTAAGACTTCTAGGTGCAAATGCTTATTTTTTGGTTTTGAGATATTGTCAATGTTGTTATGATGCTTGCATGGACTGATATTATTATTAAGCTTAAAATGCTTTGTGGTTTGCAATCAAGTTATGGTTGATGAACATATATGATATATCTGAATTGGTAGATCTTTTCTCTGTTTGTGTTTGCTTAGTTTTTTTTAAATGGTTGCAGAGAACTTTCCTTCTCAAGTTTTTGTGTGATGAGTTGCTTAATTCTTCCCTGATACGCCAGCACCTTGAGCAATGTTCAGAGTTGTCTGTTGAGTTGCATCAAAAGTTGCGTGCACTTTCTGGAGAGTGGAAAGGCCTGAAAAATAGAGAGGATATTTTATCCACAAAAGCTGCAAAAATTGATACATTCTCACTTAATACTGCTGGAGAAGTTGGTCTTAAAGAGGGGTTCACAACTTTATTATCAAATACTGGTAAATGTCTGGTTCAGCCACACACTGCAGATTACAATCCTAATAACTTTGGGGTATTTGTTGATAGTCTTCCTTCAGAGGAGATTACCAAAGAGAAGTACAGGTTGGATAGTGTTGATAAAAGCATGTCTGTGACAAATTCAGATTCTGATAGCCAAAATATGAATTCTATGGACGTAGAGGGACAATTTAGAAATGTTTCTGTGGCTGTGGAGTCTCAGTGTACTGATAAATCCCCCAAGTCTGTTCCATCACCAAATCATATGCCTCAAGAAATAAATGGTTCTGGTGGAGCAGCTCATATCCATAGTAACCACCAGAAATGTGAGGGAAGGGACATATCTACTCCTGTGATGCACCAGCAAGGACAATGTGTGCCTGTCGATGTTCCTCAGATTACTGTGAATGAGTCAGAACCCATCCACCTCGAGCTCAATGCCATCAAGCGTGATATTTCACTACTGCAGGACTCCATAACAAATGTAGTATCACAGCTGCTGAAGCTCTCTGTTCGTCGGGAATTTTTGGGTATTGATTCTATAGGTCGACTGTACTGGGCTTCAGTTATGGCCCGGGGACGTTCACGTATAGTTGTTGATGCAAGTGCTGCATGGATGCACGGAAGAGGAATGGCTTTTAGCAGAGACTCTGTAGAGAGGTTTACTTCTCTGCTGCATTGTACTCCATCTGAGAAGGATTCCTCTCCTTTTATGTCTCAACCAAGTAGTGCTTTGAGCAAGAGTTCACCATGGGTTGCATATGAAACTGATGCAGAAATTGAAGAACTTCTAGGTTGGCTGGACGATAATGACCCTAAAGAGAAAGAACTGAAAGATTCCATTATGCTGGGGCCAAAATCAAGATTTCAAGAGTTTATTAATGCACAGACTGAAAGTCAGGTTGAGGACCAAGGACCTGTTTCTATGCTAAGAAATAGAGAGAAATCAGTATCTAATTCTCTTGTTACGAAGGCAACTTCCTTGCTGGAAAAAAAATATGGTCCATTATTTGAGTGGGATACAGTTGAGGTGTTGAAGAAGCAAAGTAACAGAGCCAGAACAACTAATGATGAAAAATTGTATAGATGTGAGTGCCTGGAAGCCGTATGGCCTTCTAGGAAACACTGCATGTATTGTCACAAAACTGTTACAAGTGATGCTGAATTTGAGGAACACAATGATGGCAAATGTAACGCAGGTCTTCTGGTCTTGGAGAAGAACAAGGACAAAAATGGATCTTCTAAAGGAAGAGGGAACTTAAAATGTGATACTTCACATGAGAAATTCAGAGCTGATGGAGAAATAGCTGGAACCTCAATTAATGGATGTTCTAAGCTTAGCTCAAGATTGATTAAATTTTCAAATGAAGAATCCACATGTCCATTTAATTTTGAAGATATATGTTCCAAGTTTGTGACAGATGATTCCAACAAGGAACTTGTCAAAGAAATAGGTCTTATTGGTTCAGATGGTATCCCATCTTTTGTTCCTTCCATTTCTCCTTTTGTTAGTGAATATACACTATTCTCAGCTCAAAAGGATGATAGTGTCGTTGGGGGTGTTTCCAAAGCATCAGAAAGCCAGGTTCCTCAGGGAAACACTGATGGAGCTGGCACATGTCATGATTGTAAATCAGGTGTATCTGCTGCAAGGGTAGCTACAAATGAAAGCAATAAATCCAACAAATCATCCTTGGGAGAACAAAGAGATGGAAAATTATCTTTTTGTAGTCCTTCTTTGGACATGGGAGTTGATGGCTGCTGCGTGGTTCCTTTGTCTTCGTTGAGACCATTAGTTGGAAAAGTTTCTCATATTTTGAGGCAACTGAAGATTAATCTACTTGATATGGATGCTGCACTCCCGACAATTGCTCTAAGACCATCAAAGGTCCATTCTGATAGAAGACAAGCTTGGCGTGCATTTGTTAAATCTGCAGAGACCATATATGAGGTTTGTCTTATTTCTGTGGCTCTAGCAGATATACTTCTCCATTAACACGCAATTGCCAACTCAAAATACATTGTTAATTCCTTAAGTTTTCAGCACTGCAGCTCAGCTTACAGGGATACTTTTTTAGTCTCATTCGATGACAGTTTATTGTCTTACTAATGCCATTTTGTGCAATTACTTCAATTTCAGTGAAAAGCTGCTGGTTTATGTTTGTAAATAATTTCTTGAACAATAATTATGCTATATTTCTAGTTCAAGTATATTACAGACGATCGTGAACTTCTGTTTATTAATTGATGTTCCTTCTGTTTTTTCAGATGGTTCAGGCAACGATTACACTGGAGGATATGATTAAGACAGAGTACTTGAGGAATGACTGGTGGTACTGGTCATCATTCTCAGCTGCTGCCAAATCTTCTACTTTACCTTCCCTTGCCCTTCGCATATACTCCCTTGATTTAGCCATTATATATGAGAAAATGCCCAATTCAAGTTTTACTGACAACTCTGATCCTTCTGCCATAGTGGAACAGAAACCACTGATGACTGTGGATTCAGAGAAATCCAGAGCGAGCCGGAAATCAAACAGGAAAAGGAAGGAACCAGATAATTGATCTTTGAAAATCAGAAAGCTGGTTGCTTTATGTGGTTTGATGTGATCATCCACTGGTATGAGTTTGGATGAAGAGTTCGTAGGGCCAACTTCAGGTTATTTAATGGGGCAGCCACAGCTGCTGGTGTCACTTGCATGCTTGTAAATATAGGTAAAGCTGACCTGCTAACTCAGATGCTGGTTTTTGGCTAAGCAGAATTTGTAGGATTATCTGCTTTCAGTGAGGGCACCAGTATGAGGGAATTTTGAGGATGCGTCCAATTTTGAAATGATTTCTGCTGCAGCTGTCCAGTTAGTTGCTCCATAGCGAGAAGTACCATTTTTCATTTTTCTAGTAGAGTCTGATCCATATATGTATACAAATGGAATTATTGTAAAGAAGGAATAGAAAAAAAGCAAAAAGAAAGGATGGGAAAGAAGTCAAAATGTTAAGTTGAGCAGTTGTAGGCAATATTTCATTCTTTATACCTTCTCTCTCACCCCCACAGAAGTCCTGCACACGCATGCCCTAGATTTTGTTCTTGGGCATCTGCTGATGTGTTAGAATGCAGGGGAATTATTGGAATCAAAGCATTTTTCCATCTGCTTTATTGTGCTTGCCCAGTGCGAGTTCTGTTTGATTTGTTTTTTTCAGCTTATTTTCCCATAATTCTCTCTTCATGTTTGTGGGGTTTAATGTAGAGATACTAATATCTAACCCCCTCCTAATCGGTTTGAGCATCACAATCCTAGTTACTATCAGGGGGTACCGGGTTGCATCGTTCTAGCACTGCCATGAGGCTGTCCTAGTGTTCCCAATGTATTTTCTGTTTTGCGGCAATATTTCGGATGCATTGCGCATGTCGAGATTGCACGTACAATCACCGGCTTAAGTGGTTGCACCGTCTGTTATGCTAATATAACAGTGTGTTAGTTTTACTAGCTACCAAAATGTAGAATGCATCTTAGGCAGTCATTGTGAGGTAGGTTAAGTGGATTCTTCAATCCTTCTCTATGCTTTCTTGATGATCATTAGGTCCAACTATGTTTAAAGCTTAGTGTTAGATCTGTGTTATACAACATAAATATCTGACGTAGTATGACCATTTTCAGTGCTTGTTAATCATCAAAGATTTCTGTGAGTAGCATTGTGTATGCCAATTTGGTGTTGGGAGCTTACATCGTATCTTCCATCAAATTCGTTAGGAGAGTTGAAGTTGATCCATAAAATTCAGTTAGTCCTCTCACTATGTGAAAAAATCGAGTATTCTGTGAACTTTTATCTTCATCTCTGCAGTTTTTACTTTTGTTTTTTCTTTGATCACATTGTAGTTCATGTCGTGAGCAAATTATGAATAAAGTAATGATATTTATAAGTAAGAATATACGTATTGGATTACCATAATTAGGGTGTGTAATAAGATCAAAGAAACTACCCTTAATGAAAAAAAAGAAGTAAAAGACGTTGGGAGTGGTTTGCCTTCGTTGATCTCAGCCGAATTTATTCTGGATTTATTTGTCCAAATAGTTTTCGAATCCATTTATTTATTCGGGAATCAAGAGGAAAAAAGGCAACTCAATATATACTTACTAAATACTAATTAACAAAGTTTTTATAGTTGAACAAGAAATAAGCTTGCGCTAAACTTGGAAGTACAACAGAGGACGCCATTGACCAAATTACTGGACTTTATTTATTAAACTTGGCTTCAGGACACTCTCCTAGTGGTCCGGGCCACCCAAGCAGGAAGTTTACTTTTTCTTTCTAGCCCACATGAAATTATACAATATTATCACTTTTTCTTAATTAAACATCTAATTAAAAAAAGCACTGCTGCATTATCTATCCAACATAATACATATTACTCCACCAACCCAATGCCTCTCCTTCCTCATGGCTTTGGTGCTCAGTTTCCGATGCCACAAACACATCCAAGTAACTCCTCCCGTCATCACTTCCATCCTCCTCCTCTGATTGAACCCTCTCAACTGGGGCCACACATCCACCATAGTTGTCAGCTGGAAAGTATGAATCAACACTGTCAACAACTAGCTGGGGACTACCCTCATCCACCACTGCACTTCCAACACTCCCACTACTCAGGTGGTCCTCCACCTTTGTGCTGAAAATTGGAGCTATATCATCTACCAGAAGTGGATCAATTTTCTTGTCATGTAATGGTTCCTCAGGCACCTCTTTAGCTTGAACTTGAAGCTTCTCATTTAAGGATACCATCTGCGGAATAGTCAACATGTCATTAAGATAATCATACTTAAAACATCCACTTGTTAATTAGTTTATGGCCAACCTTGCATCCTCCTTTCTAAAAATATTCATCAGTCTTTTTCACAGAAGGAAGTCTTAAGGCATATTTTGAGAAATCTACAAGGGTATATTCGCATAGTTACTTTGAAAGGGCTTTCTTTTCAAACTAAGTGGGGTTCAGAACAGATGCTACTCTTGATAGTATGCGATTATTATAGTGTCGAATCTCATGTGTAGGGCCCTTTCTGGATAGCTACCAATCATCTTCTAGGTGATGTGTCTACTTGTTCCCTTATGATGGAGTTCTGATTGTGAAGCCACTAATTCCATCCTAATACAGGAACTCAAACACACAACCATTGACAGACAATTTATATTCTGTTCGCCCAATATTTCATCACACTTTTATGCATAGCTGTAGCATTCTCTAATTTTCAAATTGCATATATGAGCAGCCAAATCTAAACAGAAAAAGCATAATACTTCCATTGCATAGTTATAATGATTCAACTTTTTCAACAGTAGGCATGTATATATGTACCTCAGATTTGAGTTTCTCATTCTCCTTCACAATTGAATCATAGGACGAAAGTAGGGAATCATAGGAAGACTTGAGAACATCATAATCCCTTTCAAGTTGCTTGGTCTTCCATCGAGCCCTGCGGTTCTGAAACCACACAGCCACCTGCCTGGGCTGCAACCCCAGTTTCTTAGCCAACAGGGTCTTCCTCTCCGGCTCCAGTTTGTTCTCTTCTTCAAAGCTCTTCTCCAACAGATGGACCTATTTACAACCACACAGTGTCACAACAGGAAATATTGAGGCAAGCTATCATGGGAGTTTGCCTTTATAGCCTTGTCACACAATAACTCTCGTATCAGTCTTGTTGATTAGTCCAATCTAGGCAACCCCATAAGTAATCAGTAAATTAATTACAAGAACAAGCATTCAACTCAAGCTAATCTGTCTAGGTTTACTAACATTAAGATATGGTTTCAAAATCAAATCACTTTATAATATAGCTACAAAATGGGATTTCTCGATAAAGCCAACCACCTTTCTTCCACATATTGTATTAAACTCAAAAGCCAAACTCAAAGCAAATACGTGACAATTAGTCATGAGATTCATAACAAAAACAGAAATTCATTCAAATTTCAAGCAACCAACGAACCTGCTCAGAAGTGAGGCGGCGCTTCTTTTCCGGCAACTGCTCCTCATAATACTCCTCATCAAACAGTTCATCTGGTGAGGTGAAGAAAGGTCGCCTCTTTGACCCTTCCTCCATGCTCATCATCGATCTTCCTGCTATCATTCCAATCCCAAAAACAAAACCTCATCAATTAACAATAATTTTGTTTATTAACATTTAAACACAGTTACTTAATAATTTTTTTTTTTTAAAAATCTTGATTGCTCGCCCCCCCAATTTTAATACACAACCAAGTTGCTTCCTTCAACAGAAGCCCAAATCAAATCACGTCTTCTTTTCTTCAATTTCACTCTCTTTAAAACATCTTTCTGTTCCTAATCTTCCCTCTATCCAAACACAGACCATTTTCACAAACCAAGCCACAGTCACATCACAACAACATCATCATCATCATCGTCATCATCATCATCTACCACAACTCATTCAACTACAATCCAAAAAAGGGTAATTAAGAGAAAATTCAATGAGAGAGAGAGAGAGAGAAAGAGAAACAACCTCGGAAAGCAAGCTCAGCATTCCCGAGAAAGAGCATGTTGTTCCCACGACAAGCAGAGGCATCAAAGAAAAGTCTTCCAGACTCCATGGCACTCCAAATTCCAGGTCAATCTCCACCGCCGGCGAAAATTTCCGGCGAAAGAGAAAGAGAGAGAAATTAGTACTTAAAGAACTTGTGTGTAAAATCTATGTGTATGAGTTTTTTTTTGGTTTGGTCTATGTTATGGTGATGATGATTTTCCTTCCAGAATTAGAAAGGTTGTGTTTTGTGATTTGGGTTTGGTTCGGTTCGGTTTGGTTTGGATTAGAAGATCATTAACTTATGACGGAAGAAGCTTGTGGTCCAAAGCAACCTCGCCGGAGTTTCCAACGGGCATATGCAAGATCCCATCATACACCACCCGATCCTACCCACCACTTTCCGATGATAATCACTTTCGTCGGAATCAGGTAACGCCGGTCGCCGGAGATCCAATTTCCGGCAAGCGTTTTGTTCTCTCTGTGTGTCTGTTTCTTTGTGTTGTGAGTGTCTTCTGCGGCTAAAGTTGTCCGAGCAAAGCCCATTGGCTTTTATAGCGCTTCCTTCACTGTAAATTTACTTAAATACCCTTGTTTTTTTTTTCTTTTTTCAGGTTTTTAAATTTTCTTGGCTTCTTGTCTTGTAATTGGAAGGGTTTCATGGGATGATTCGATTAGTTTGTATTTATAATTAGCAGTCCAATCAGACCACCATTATATTGCAAAGAGAAGATTTTTCTTTTAAGTTCTTTTTTGAAGTCAGAGCATATTATCAATTTTAGTTAATTTTTATAATGAAATAGTATTTCAGTGACTAATAGAGAACTTATGAAATTTAAATGAAATGATACTAGGGTTAACTAGGTGGTTTAATATCTTTTTCTAGCTAAATTACTGTGGAGTTTGATGATTGTTAAAAGAAAAGAGTGTAGCCAACCTTTTCAGTTGAGAAAAATATAATACTTGGATTTCGCAATAATCTGTTGGATTTTTTCAACTTAAATGTAATCTTTATAGCTTAATTTGGAAGTTATGTTGGGTTTATTTTCAATTTGATTGCCATATTTATAGCTTCCTTTGGAAATTATGTTAGGTTTTTCTCAATTTTAATGCCATATTTGTAGCTTCATTTGGAAATTAAGGTTATTGAGAATTTTAATTTTAATTTTAATAGGCCTAACATGTAATATTTTAGATCCCTAAAATATCACCAATTTTTATTGTATAAGTTATGAATATAAAATTTTAATTAGAAAACGTCCCATTTTGTTTTTTGTTTTTTATTTCCAACTTGCTGGATGAATTACTTTCCTTTTTACATTTTTTTTAGCTTTTTAAATTAATGTTATAGATTGAAAACCACCCATATTTTTTAAACATGAAATTATAAAATATATGGTTTGCATTGATTATAAAATATAATATGTATGTAGACAAAAGAAATTAAGAGATCATCATCATATTCAAACTTTTTCTTCTATAACTTTGGTCACACTCTGAATCAAATATTCTCACACACACATAAACATTTAGATTAAAAAAACGAGTGATTTCTACATTAATAAAACTGCAATAGGTGGCTTGGGTTAGCAAGTCGAATCGAATAGGTGGCCACATGGTTGTGTTTGTTGTTAAAATTGTGAAATTCCTCTGTGCTCTCAATAGAGCCAACAGCTCCAACGCATCATAAACAGTGTTTATAAGTAAACTATACATGGAAGATCCAAGAACAGACCAAAAAGGCAAGTGGCTTGCATTGAATCCACATGGTGGGGCTTCAATATGTCAAAATATAGATTGCAATTTTGAAGAGAGAGACCAATCTTTTTATATTATTGTCTTTAACAGGTAGAGTTAAGTACTATTGTCCTCTTAAGATGATGCAGTCACATAAACTTGCTGGGAAACCATAGTGGCAGACACTTAACAAGCATTAAATACATCATTATTTGTTTACCTTTCCAAAATAGCACCCTCATCCATTGAACCCATCAACCTCTGACTTCTTCATAATTTGGTAATGAACTTGAAAATAAAATATATACACAATTTAAAACAATTTCCAGAAAAGCTAAAACATTTATTTATGAATAAATGAAAAAGAAATAATGGGTACCTAGCTAGAATCCCATGCATGATAGCAACTTAACTCAAAAATGTTCATGCCCCTTTGGATAAGGTTGAATACACATCCTCATCATGTACAAGGCAAGCATAACAGATGGAGCGCTTTCGATATATGCATTCAAAAGTGTCACTATTAAGAAAATCCATATATTAACGGAAATTAAATATGGATAAGTATAATTTACTTGATATAAATTTTGTCTAACAAAAGCTGTACAAATATAAATATTATGTGTTTAAGCTAATATATCATATGTTACCATATATTTATAACATCTAACTAATTACATTTTCTTTTGATAAAACAACAAGAGTAGACTAATGACTACTATTCATTTTTTTTAGTATAAGTAACCTTTTTAGCATCTTGGAATAATTCTTATATAAAAACACGCAAGATTAGCAATTGGTGACCTTAAATCAAAATTAAAAAATAATAAAAGATCAACATATTAATCTCCCTAATAACAAGAGAAAACTCTTGGGTTATACATGGTTAAGTATTAATTAGAAAAATGATCAATAGATGCTACTTGGCATTTGAAGTATTCTTTAGTAATCGTAAAGGTATAAAAAATATTATTCGTAACTTATGTATTACGATGCTTGCGACTTGCGAGAATGACGTTGAGATGGTGACAAGAGAGAGACACACTATGGACGCGTATTTCCCATATTATTCTATCTTTTGCCCTCCCATTCTCAACGTTACTTCTTTTACTGCTATCATAACTCATACTTGTACCTCAAAATTTTAAAATCATTTTATATGTTCATGGGAAATTACTTAATCGGAAAAGTGCTTATATTACTATTGTATTCATTGTATTTGAATAAATATTATCTAAAATGGTATTTATTTATCAAAATAACAATTTCAAAATTTATAAATCTAGTTAAATAAAAATAATAATATTTATACAATAAATATTACTAAACATGTAAATTAACTAAAATAAATTGCTCTAATTTAAGAGGAATAATTCCTTCTATTTTAAAACAAAAATGTTACAAAAGTGAGGTTCGTAAACACAAGAGTAAGAGCTCTTGAATGCTTGACTTGAAAGAGTAAATTAGTTGAATGCAACAAGTGTTTTTCTAGAGAATGAGTTTATCCCATCTTTTAATATTAGTCCCCTTCTTACAAAAGATTGAATGATGCTTTGAGATGCAAGCTGCACTCAAAGACAATCACTATCTCTTTTTTGAAGCATAGAACATTGATACTAAGGTAAAATATCTTGAGAGCTCTTTAAGTCAAATATTGTCTATGAATTCTTATTTTCTAGAGCATTTGTTCAACTTTCTATGAGCATCATTCATACGTTCAAACATACTAAGAAACACTCATTTTGTCATAATACGTTTTTTAGTGTTTTGTGGCATTCATACGTTTTCACGCTCTAAGTCTATGAGCTTGAGAAATGTAGAAGATCCATTTTAGAAGAAACTCCTTAGAGTTCCTTCATTCTTCTTCCTTACTTTAGGGAATGTCTTAAGACCTCCAAAGTAATAAAATATAGAAGCCATCTTTCGTCCTTTGCTCTTTAGATAGTCCACTTTCCTTACTCTTCAAGTAGCACAAGCCTTATCTCATTTTCATCCTTTTTCATCTTATACCTTTGTTTGAGTCATTTAAAGGTCTTATTTTTCTCATTTTCAAATTTTCCTCTAATATTTTATTTGGTTCCAACATTAACTCCCTTGTGAGCATGGGACTATGCCCAAGTGCATTAATATTATTCTCTTATAGCTTTTACCTTTTTCTTCTTACAATCTTCTAGACGATGACATGCAACTATTAGCGAATTTTCTATTTGCTATTCTGATTTCATTCTTCTATTGTTACTTCCCTGCTAGATTACTTACACTCAATTTATTTGTTTCTTTTGTACATTCAAGATTTGTTTTGCTTTCAAAAGGCTTGGAATCTTCAAGGATGAGCTCATTTGTTGCTTAAACATTTTTTCTGCGAGCTTGATTTTAGCGATTTATAGCTCGACAACTTGTGTTCATAGCTCGATAGACCCATTCCATCTGAAGGCATTGTGTATCTCTAAAGACATTGTGCGTCTTAATGCTTAAAAGATAAACTATTACACAAAGTGCATACATGATTCACTCACAGCTCTTTAAATAGTACATTCCTTACTCTTCAAGTAGCAAAGACCTTGACAACTATCCCATCTTTATCCTTTTTCATCCAATATTTTGGTTTGAATTATTTAAAGGTCTTATTTTTCTCATTTTCAATTTTATCCGTAACAGGCAAATCAATAATTTATTATAAATAAATTTATTACAGTTTATTTATTTATTATAATTGATGAGTAAGTATTAACTTATCATATTAATACTTACTTATACAAAATTAATTTAAAAGTAAATTATATTCATTTTTATATTATTTAATCATTTTTATTAATCCTTATATTATAAGTTTGTTTTAAAATTAGATGATAGCTTTTGTCATTCTTTTTTTCTCTTTATAGCTTGTAATTTTATCATTTTTAATCTCTCTCAAACACACATAAATTAATGATTATTTTAAAATTAATTTATTCATATAAATATTTTCTCTCAACACTAAAATTAAAAATGTATGCTAACAATTGATATAAACATAATGTATACCATTTTTAAAATTTTAATAAAATTGTTTCCATTGTATATAACACAGCATATTATTAACATATATTTATAATGTCTCCACTCACTATTCAATTTTGTAAAACAAAGTCACAATTTACAGAAACAAGGACCAGTGTAATGGCAAATTGTTATTTTCTCAATTTCTTTTATCAATCATATAATAAATAAATTAAAACATATGTAATTAATATCTTATTTTTACTAAAAATATTTTTAAAATTTTAATTTGACCTTCATTATTATTTTTCTTTCACACGTGATAATAGAGAAAATTATAATTAAAAAAAATAAATTTTAAATTTTTTTAAAAGTGGATATAAAACAAGTATAAGGTCGTCAAAATATAAATAATACTTAGTATAAAGTATGACACTTTTAATTTATTATACATTTTTGCATAATTTATGATGAATTAAGTTGATTAAATTAAATTCTTTATGTTCATAATGCGAAAAATTCAACAAAAATTCAAAATTTTCACTTAAATTATTATTATTCAGCTCAAAAATAAATTTGATAATATTCAAAATGATAAAAATAAAATATGAGTAAACATTTACTATCACTTTATACGTTACTAAACGAAGTTATACTTGAACATTAGAAAAATATGTATATTAGACATTATTTAAATATAAGAGTTTGATAAGTATAAGTTATTATTTAAAATACATTAAGATTTAAATTACATAATTATAATATTTAAATAATATAAGAGATGTGATACTAGTTATTATCCTCAAACTAACCTTCTACCTC